TCTCTCTCTCTCTCTCTCTCTCTCTCTCTCTCTCTCTCTGTCTCTCTCTCTCTCTCCCTCCCTCCCTCCCCCTGGTACTTGGGATTGAACTGAGCTATCTCCCCAGCTCTAACATTTCTTCTCTTGTTGAAGTTCTACCTGGAACAGAGGAAGAGCAAGCAGAGCCAGGAGCCTGGTCTAGAGAAAATTTCACAGTGTGCAAACTTTCCTCTATGTCATCCTTGACCTGGGCCAGTAAGCCTGCACAGGCCTAGGTGATAGAGAACTTTTTTTGGGTTGGTCTGAAACAGGGAGCAGCATTCTGCAGAAGGTCTTTTTCACATGTTGAGAAACCAAGTCTTAATCTCTTCTTCTGATGATTGTACAGAAATCAAATTGCTTGATAGATGTACAGATAAACAGAAGTTCGCAATCAAAGCAAGTTCTGGAATGGAGCTGATCAGTAGATTTTTTAATGGCTATTAGCTTAATAATCACTCACCAAGAATAGCTTCCAGGCAGACCAAACCCACGTGTAAGTGGGCCCAACCCAGGTAGACCAACACCTATTTGACAAGTATATAAGAGGACCCTTATTGTCTCCTGACAACTCAGCTTGGTCTTCAGCTTTGGCTCTCATCAGGAACCTTGGACTTTCCTCACTGTACAAGGCATCATGAGTTGTCAGATCTCCTACAGATCTCGAGGAGGAGGAGGAGGAAAAGGAGGAGGAGGATTCCGGGGCTTCAGCAGTGGCTCAGCCATAGTTTCTGGAGGAAACCGGAGATCGACATCCAGCTTTTCTTGCTTGAGCCGCCATGGTGGTGGCGGAGGAGGCTGCGGCGCAGGTGGCTTTGGCAGTCAGAGTGTTATTGGCCTTGGAGGGAGCAAGAGCATCTCCAGTAGTGTGGCTGGAGGAGGTGGAAGCTTTGGCTCCGGTGGTGGATTTGGTGGCAGAGGAGGAGGTGGCTTTGGAAGCTTTGGAGGTGGCAGCAGCATCAGAGGAGGCAGTGGCTTTGGAGGCGGTGGTTTCGGTGGAGGCGGCTTCGGTGGAGGCAGCTTTGGAGGAGGCCGCTTTGGAGGTGGTGGTGGACCTGGAGGTTTTGGAGGTCCTGGTGGCTTTGGTCCTGGAGGATTCCCTGGTGGAGGCATCCATGAAGTCTCTATCAATCAGAGCCTCCTGCAACCTCTTGATGTAAAAGTAGACCCAGAGATCCAGAACAGAAAGTCTCAGGAGCGGGAACAGATCAAATCTCTCAACAACAAATTTGCCTCCTTCATTGACAAGGTGAGTTAGAAGCAGCTCCTTCCGATGCTCAGGGCTGTGGCTGTGGCTGTTGAAAAGGAAACTGTATGAGTTCATTTAGGAGCCTTTGGAGTGGCTGTTGCAGCCTGGATTACTTGCAAATCCCAAATGTGAAAAATGCTGGTTACAGAGGCTGTTTCCACAACAGTTTGTAGTTGGGATTCACTTGTCTCTTTGGTTTTATTTTTCAGTGCAAACATTTATGGACAACTCTGATAATTATAGAAAAATTGGTATAGGCAAGTAATGAACTGAGCAGGTCAGGACATGTGATACCAGGTTTTAAAAGGAATTGGTGATATTGTCTTCCTCAGGAGTTTCTTTCCTTCCTTGAAAAGTTATTACTCTATTAAATTCTGTGAAGTGGAACTTGAAATATCTGTTTGAAATTCCAGCCTTCAAGAGAAACATTCTCAGTTTTGAGAATCATAAAGTCTTCAATGGTGTCACATGGGGTGTTACTGGGCTTTCTTCTATTTCAAGGCAGAGAAACCTGTCTTGGTTGAATTACACAGGAATTAACAGGGCTCTGAAACACCAGCCAAGGAGCCCTGCCCTCCGGGACTCATACTCAGCATCCTGGGCTGGAGTTCCAGCAGATACCTGCTTTTGGTTTGCTCCAGAATTTATGGGACATTGGCAGGGGCACAACTAGGATCAGGGAGGGAAATGGCCTGGAATCTTGGCAGCAGCTGCAAACAAAGCAGTGGGTGTGAAGTAGGAGAGTTCTGTGCGTGGGCAGAGCCGGTGGTAGCATCACGAGTCCATAGAACTAGAGGCAGGGAGCTCAGAAGTTCTGCCCGGAACTCTCCAGCCTCTCGCTGGCTGGGGTGGGCAAAGCATTGTGACTGCCTTCTGTCCCCAAGCGGCGCCAGACCTGCAGATGCAGGTATGTCTTACTAGCTGAAAGGTTACCTGGGCCTTATGTGCTCTTCCTCCTCTCATGGCAGGTGCGCTTCCTGGAGCAGCAGAACCAGGTGCTGCAGACCAAGTGGGAGCTGCTGCAGCAGATCGATGTGCGGACCCGCACCACCAACCTGGAGCCCTTCTTCCATGCCTACATCAACCAGCTCCAGAAACAGGTGGATGCACTCTCTTCGGAAAGAACCTCCCAGGATTCAGAGCTGAACAATATGCAAGATCTTGTGGAGGATTATAAGAAAAAGTAGGTGGCCGACTAAACCATGAGTGGAGATAGAAAATGAACAGAACCCCTTGTCTACCACTTGCATTTGTGGGATAAGGGGGTTTAGTGGCTGCATATTTGTTGATTATTTATGAGTAGGCCATAAAGTTTCGGAGATTTTTTTTTTTACACGTTTGAGAGTTAACTTCCAGAAATCTAGTCTCATTTGGAATATGAATTTTGGAATTTAAAGAGTACTTAATATACCCACAGAATAGGACATTTGAGATGACTTTAATAGAAAAAGGAAAAGGAAAAAACCATGAACTAATCTAACTGTTGTATCACTTTGGTCCCAACAGATATGAGGATGAAATAAACAAGCGCACGTCTGCTGAGAATGATTTTGTGACACTTAAAAAGGTAAGTAAAGGCCTGTCATGGCCTGGGAGGAATTGGGGTGTATTACACCACAGCATGTCCAGATAGACAAACTAGGAAACAGTAGTATGTACTCATAGCAGCAGCCAGAGAAAGGGGTGAGATATGCTTGGCCCTGGTTCTCTTGGGGCAAGAGTTCTGCCCTTTAATCTTCTGAAGATGATCTTCCAAGATGTTCTGCATACAGGGCAGAGCACTGCTGTCACTCACCCATTTAAAGCCTATATTAGGTCACAATAATGCAAGCACAGGAAGCACTTTATTCTTCTAAAGGGCTGTTGATGAATGGGACTTCCCTTAGAATGCCTGCTTCTAGTTGCTGGTGGTCGTACTGACATAGGTTTAAGCAGAAGGCCTGAAAGCATGGCTTCTCAGCCTGGTTCCTACAAAGGACTCATGTATAATCCAGGAAAACTCAGGAGAGTTAGGGTGGACAGACTGGGTGGAGAAGAACAGCAGAGAAACCGGGACCCTTGTGGCAAGCCAGGTATGGTAGGGGGTTGTACTTCACCAGAGGTCCTGATCTTCTGTGCAGGATGTGGACAATGGCTACATGAACAAGGTGGATCTGCAGGCCACTGTAGACACACTGACCCAGGAGATTGAGTTCCTGAGAAGGCTCTATGAGGCGGTAAGGAAGTTTTCGCTAGACAGACCTATACTTCCACACTTCCCATTGGTGAAAAAAGTGGTAGACATGGATTTTATGGACTGGCTGACTAGCTATCGTTATAGCCCACTCAGGGGAATATAGAACACAGGCACTGGGGAGGAAGAAGCTTTCTCCTTTGATGCCAGAGGAAATGAGGTTCAGGAAATACTAGGTCAATTTCCCATCCCTCTTTCTTCTACAGGTCCACTTCCCTTTAAGAAGGGGCCTGTTCTATGTCCCATGGGCTACCCAGGTCAAAATGCACTATCTCCCCACCTTGCTGGACTAAGGGGACACATATCATTTCAAAAAAAGGATGTAAAATTAAAGGCATTAAATGGAGCATGGATCAGCTTTCTGGGGGCATTTACTGGTGTAAGTGTTGAAAACAGTTAAGTAGGAGGCTCAGAAATACAGACGCTCCTCTCCCTTCCCTACAGTTCTGAGGACAACCTTGCAAGAGGCTACGAAATAGTAATGATGTCACTTTTCATCCCACCTAGGAAATGCTTAGCCTGAGAATCTGTGTTTCATTAACACTAGGTGGGAGATCTCCTCACTATCTGTGGTGTGGGCAGAAAGTCATGGCCAGACTTCACTCTATGTTGTAGGAACTGTCCCAGGTACACGAGACTGTCACGGAAACCAATGTCGTCCTGTCCATGGACAACAACCGCAACCTGGACCTGCAAGGCATCATTGCTGATGTTCAGACCCAGTATGAAGACATTGCCATGAAGAGCAAGGCTGAGGCTGAGACCCTGTACCACAGCAAGGCAAGTACAGGGAAAGCCAGGCAGCCCCAGCTCTCCACAAAGCCAGGCTTCACCCCCTCTCAGGATGTAGACAGTAAGATTGCTGGTGTGTTTGACTAATGAAGTTGGGCCTCATTCCCAAGAGAGTGTTGGAAATGGCACCAAGTTCTTGGGGGAACATGTGAGATCACTGCCAACCTCCCCTGAATATGACCACCACCTTCAGCCAGCTGCCAGCCTTCCCATAGCTGCAGTGGAGCTTCTCCCAGGCTGGAATTCCCTGTGACCTGTCCTCTCTTCCCCCATTAGTACGAGGAGCTGCAGATCACTGCAGGGAAACATGGAGACAGCCTGAGGGAGCTCAAGATGGAGATCAGTGAGCTGAACCGCACGATCCAGAGACTTCAAGGGGAGATCTCGCACGTGAAGAAGCAGGTGAGGCCTGGCCTACCCAGTGGGCCCAGATCTGCTGGTTGAGTCAGGGTTGGGTGCAGCTGATGGTTGTATCTCTGAGTGTGTGAAGCTGAGATGTTCTAGTTTATATTAATAACAAGGTCCTGAAACTAAACATAATTTGAAGCTATAGTATTTAGATTGGTATAAGGGACTTTCTAAAAACAGCATCAGCAAGGGAAGAGAACTGTGCTCACTTTTTGGTTGTCTACACAAGTAAAGGTGGCAAATAGGAAATAAAGCACAGGCTAGCTGGACTTGCTGTGGATTTCAGATGTACTTTCCCATTTGTGCGTGGCATAGGCTCTGGGCAGTATCCGATTGGGTTCACAGAGGATGCTGAGTATTTTAGGGAGCTGATTGGGGCTGGCCATTAACCTAGGGGCAGAAAATGAGGGGCAGAGTATGGTCTGGAAACTGGAGAATCTGTGCAAAGCAGCCTGCATAGAGTAACTTCATTTGTGTCTACAAAGTAGGATAGCATTTCTGGCCCTGTGAGTGAGGTCAAGGCCATCCTCAGGTGCACGGATGGGCCCAGGCAAGGGGCAGGTGTGAAGAAGAGGTCCGGAGATAGCAGCAAGTTTTAGCGCCATTGTTTGTAACATCCATTAGCCCCAGGGGTGTCCAATACCTGTGGAGCCAGTAGTTCTGGCCTCGACACTGAACTTCTCTACTCCTTTCCCCATCTCGCCACTGTCTGTACAGAAAGAAATCATCTCTCCTTTCCTCTTCGTTCTCTTACAGTGTAAGAATGTACAAGATGCCATTGCCGATGCTGAGGAGCGTGGAGAGCGCGCCATCAAAGATGCTCAGAGCAAGCTCACAGACCTGGAGGAGGCCCTACAGCAGGCCCGGGAGGACCTGGCCAAGCTGCTGCGGGACTACCAGGAGCTAATGAACACCAAGCTGGCCCTGGACATCGAGATTGTCACCTACCAAAAGCTGCTGGAGGGCGAGGAGTGCAGGTGAGGGGCACCAGACGGGAGAAGGTGCTAAGGCCTGTTCTTTCCTTTCTCTGGAACTAGAGCTGGCATAAGGGTGGGCAAAGCAGAGGGTGGAGCCAGATGGCATGCACGACATTCTCTGTGGAGCAACTCCGGACACAAGACCCTAGTGTAGAGCTGCACATTTATGAAAGTGGAATGACTAACAAAGCTTTTTGAAACCAAGTGAACCAGGCAATAAATTCTGTCTTTTCTGAGAGGGAAAACAAAATAATGTGAAAATGAAATGACTCTAGAAAATCTGAAATGCAGTCTCCTCTGCTTACTATCAGAATGTGCTTACTGTCCAGGACATGCTAACCCCAGTAAGTGCGGACGTGATTCCTCACAGGTTTCAAGAGTGGCAATGGATCAACTGCGGATCTTCTAAGAGGGGCCCCCTGCTTCCCCTGTAGCCTTAGAACCTTGCAGATGTTACCAGTACCCCTGGTGACTTAATGTGGCTAAAGCAATTGGAAGAGGAAAAGCCACTGTAGGCCATCCAGGAGCTGTTGTAACAAAGGGAACAGCTTTTTCTGGGGTTGCTCTGGGCCTGGCTTATCATAGGGAGGAGGAAAGTCTCCAGAGGAGTGGAGGAGGGGGAGGGAGAGAGGAACAGGCAGGCTGTACTGAGTTGTAGTTCATTTTGAATTGAATGTTCACAGGAAAATCTCACTTAAAAATTTTAGAGAGGGCATGAATTCTGAATAAAGGATTCCTAAAATAGATTTAAAGAAATGTATTTCACAGTCAGAGGTGACTTTGCTGCTCAGTCATGCTAGATCAATGTTCATTCTTACCCATGGAAAAGCCTGATATAGACTTAGACGCCAGGCTGGGCATGCAGTGTGGTGCCTGTCACCATCTTCAGCGTCAGGCGGCACAGATGAAGGTGATGTATCAGCCTCTGCAGGCTGATCTTATTCACTGATCTGCGCACTTGGAGGTGGAGTTTGTAAAATATGAGGCGTGTAATGCCTACCTGCCCTGCCACACATTCTTTTCTTTCTCTCCCTAACAGAATGTCTGGAGAACTCAGTGACAATGTGACTGTGTGTAAGTAGTGGGATGTGGTCCCATTGTGTGTGGTCCTGTATGGGGGTAGAGGTCTGTAAAGCAGTCAGAAAGAGCACTATCTCTCCTGCAGCCGTGACAAGCAGCACCGTCTCTTCAAATGTGTCATCCAAGTCTGGTTTTGGAGGCCAAGGTTCTGGAGGCAGAGGATCCAGTCATGGAGGAGGAGGAGGATCAGGAGGAGGAGGATACAGCTCCGGAAGTGGCAGTTATGGCTCTGGAGGCAAAAGATCGGGCTCCAGAAGTGGTGGAGGAGGCTCTGGCCTTGGCAGCTCTAGAGGAGGTTCCAGTTCTGGAGGAGGATATGGCTCTGGCAGTGGTTCTGGAGGTGGTAGGGGGGGCTCTGGTTCCGGAGGTGGTAGAGGGGGCTCTGGTTCCGGAGGTGGATATGGCTCTGGTGGTGGCTCTAGAGGAGGCTCTAGCTCTGGAGGAGGAGTCAGTGCTGGAGGGGGAGTTTCTAGCTCTATAAAGGGAGGTTCTGGCTCAGGTGAAGGTCACAGTTCTGGAGTGACCTTCTCTTTTAGATAAAGATGGGGGTCCTCTCCTGGCGATTCTATTCTAGAATGTGGAAGCCTATTTCTGTTCCTCTCATTAACAGCATGGCAAATTTGTCACCCACCTCCGATAGCAAATGGATGCTCATAAACAGTTTTCGAAAGATCTTTCCAAACCACTTACTGTAGTTAGTGATAGTGGCACCCATTGTTTTCTGGGGGAAGAATCTGCATTGTCCGTTTGTCTCCCAGTCATGCTCCCTTCCTGGTCCCTCTGCTTCCTTGCTTTTCCATTTAGGGGTCCTCTTCCAGAGGGGTATTCTATGGAGGACCCTGGGGCAGCCTAACGATGTCATCTCAAAGCCCATGTCTCTCTCATGGAGGTCCCCAGGGAAGGGTTCTGTGTACATAGCCCCTCTTGTCAACTCCACTTTCTGAGTGCTGTGGTCTGGGTGTCTGCACAATAAATTCATTTGCAAATTATGCCATGTGGTGTTTGTTTTGTGCCAAGCTATGGTGGAGGTGAGGAGGCGCAGGAGGAAAAGATCTGGACATGATGAGAAGAGGGTCTCCTTGATGAGGGCAGGCCTCCCAAGGGAGCATGGAACACAGGAGCCTAGGGAGCTTTCCTCTGGAGGGAAGGAAGTGAAGCTGGCCCTGGAGTCTGGGCCAGATGTGATGATCTCAGAAAATATTGGCTAGGCAGTGGACATCGGGATTTATAGAAAATTCTGCTTCTAGAAAGAAGTACTATAGTTACTTCTTTTCAGGGTAAACCAGCCGAGCAGCTGAGTACCTGTCCAGGCTTCTGTAGCTCTTCTCATGCAATATTCTCTCAGCCCACTATAAACCAGGGCCTCCCTTGTTTCCTACAGGTCCCCTATTCCTGCAGGCAGGCACCCTATGGATGTTCTGGGAACCTCTGACATGGGTTGCTTGGTGAGGGTGGTGAGGTTTTGACAAGATCTCCATTAGTAGACTTCCATTTCCTCAGCAAAGTAGTCCCACCACACCCAGCCAACAAAGGAGGCAGAATCTCCCTAATCAAGGGCTCCTTGGAGCCCTGGCCCCCAGACATCCCAATTAGGGTGGGCTTCTCCTGTGTATGGAGTTGATTTCAGTTCCTTCCCCAAAAGGCTTTGTCATCTGCCAGGGAGATGGGAATGTTGGGCAGAGGATTGGTATTGGGCCAGCCAGAGTTGCCCAGTGCGAGTTGGTGGCTTGGGTGTGGTTAAGATAGGCATGTAATATTCACACTCAGCAGATGAGGCTTTAGATAACTCAGAAAAAAAGTTCCTGGGGATCCTTTTTGTTTCTTATTCTGTTCCAGCTTTGAGACCTTGGTAAGGCCTGTTTAAGCCTGTGACCCCTCTTGTCCACCTGAGTAGGGAGAGCTTTTAGAAATGCACAGGCTAGCTCTTATAAGGAGTTGTCATTGTCACAGACCAAGCTGATGGTGCTGGCAGAAGGAGCTCCAAGGGCTTCAAGTATCAAGGTGACAACACAGGAGGCAATTGGCTCTTTGAGCAGGGCCCCTATAGCTGCCCAGGCCTGAACCAGGAGGCAAGGTCTGTGGAGGTCAGGGCACAGACCAGGAAGGGGTAGTATGGGTGGGTGGCTATTAAACAGAGCATAGCACTCAGAGAGCAGAATCAACAAGAGGGGCTATGTATGCAGACACACAATTCCATGGGGCACCTTCACGAGAAAGGTACGGGCTTAAAGGTGGAGAAGCCCTTATCCTACGGGTAAGGAGACTTAAACACTGGCCTCAGCTTTAGGGATCCTATTGTATGGCACCGAATAAGTCATTTCTTACCCTAAGGATAAGAAATTTCTCTAGCAGTTTATGGAAGTGGAATGAGACTGTCAGTCTAGATTAGCTCTGATGGCAGGAATTGGCCTGTGCTTCTCCCAGACTCTGGCCTGATGAACATTTGGGACAGTGTCAGGGAAGAGACACAGAAGCTCTGGCAAGGAAACTCCAAACTATTTCAATTTTGGCTCACACAAGCCTGATGGACCATGACTGAGGCAAGGGATTACCCTTGGTGACATGGGGACACATGGTAGTGCACCCCACAGGGTGCTTAGAGTCCACATAGAGACAGATGAGAAACTCACAAACAGCTCTGCATCCAAGGCAGTTCTGGGAGCAGTAGTACACACAAAACTCACCCATCTACTTATTAATAATGCACATCTTTGGCTCTCCTCCTCCAATTTTTTTTTTTTTTTGCGGAACTGGGGTTGAATTCAGGCCCTTGCGCTTACCAGGGAAGCGCTTATTTCACTGAGCCATCTCCCCGGCCCCAATCATCTCCCTGGCCCCTCCTCCCCCAATTTCTAACAGTGGATTGGAATAGAGCCTGGAAATCAGCATTAACAGAAGCTCCCAGAGTTCAATCCCTGATACCTTAAAAAAAAAAAAGTTCCTAGGCACTTCTGACACTGGGGATGAAGAATTACATTTTGGGAAGTACTGATATAGAGGTTATAGGAGTAGGATCTAGTGAGCTCTGTTCCTGGCACCTTGAAATTTGGTAGGCATTCAATGGGAAATTGATGATCAGATAAGACCTGGAACAGTTACTACATCACCAGCCTCGATTTACTATTTGTAAAACAGTACTAGTAGTATCTTTTCACAGGGCTGTTGGAAAGATTATATACAACAATAAAAGATAAATGTTTATTCTGTAAGACCTGTAGCTTTGCAAGCATGAACTCATTATTGTGCCCTTATCTACTACAACATTTATTTATTTATTTATTTATTTATTTATTTTTGTGGTACCAGGAATTGAACTCAGGGCTTTGTGCTTGTCAGGCAAGCACTTATTCTACTGAGCTACATCCCTGGCCCCTATTTATTGTTATTATGCACTATAGTTAATATTATGAGACTGAGGAGGATTGTGGATAAGATGGCTTCACATCCAGGCACTGAAGAATGGATGGAGTTAGATAAGAAATAATAACAATATTGCACACATTTTTCTGGAAGATTGAAAAAGGAATATTTTTTCACCTTGGCTTCTAGGGCCAACATTACCATGGTTCTAAAATTATACAAAGATGTTACAAAATAAGCTAAAGATCTATATCCTTCAAGAACATAGATTTGAAAATTCTCAATAAGGTATGTGTAAATGAAGTGTACAAATCTAAAAACTACAGTATACCCTGGCTGTGGGGTTGTCTCAGAAAGGAAAGCTCAACATTCAGGAATCTGTTACTCTACTCACCATATGGACATACAGCAGAGGAAAACACATGACCTTCTGAATAGTTGCAAAACTATTTGACAAAATTAAAAACACATTTATTGTGAGGACAAAGAATAAAAAAAAACCAAAAAAACCCAAAAAACCCAAAACTGAGAAAAGTAGGAGTTGAGGGGAAGTCCCTGGGCTTGGTACTTCATCTTCTGGGATCCACAGCAGATTACCCTGGCACATCCACTGTCGGACTGGATAGCTAAGCCTGCAGATCGCATGAGTCAGTTCTGTAAAATAAATCTCTGAGAGAAAGAGAGGGAGAGAAGGAGTGGGAGAAGGTGAGAGAGGATGAATTGGGGAAGAATTTTCCTGCCTTTGAAACAGACAGAAAAGATATCATTTTCTTTAGCTTCACCTAGTGCTGGCCTGGGGCTGGGGAAAGGCTGGGAGGCGTGTGGGGTAGAGCATGTTGGAGACTTATGGGAGGTGGTGCAAGTCTTAGCGCAGTGTCACTGAGGAGTGGGCTGGGCATGTGCAGGGTACGGTAAGTAGCCGCCCCAGTTACTCTCAGAGAACTGATGCAATTCCCACAATGAGACTAAACTAGCAATCAGGGATCAGGGATCAGGCCTAGCGAATCCTTTCTTTTGAACCTTGGTCAGATTTTGCTTATTATTTTGATTGTTTCTGTGCCAACAGGCTGCCTAGAGAAGTGAACTTCTATGAGTAGTCAGGACATCTCTTTTGCTAATGAATCTGGTGTCACACCATATTCCTAAGAGAAAGAGTGAGGAAGTGCCTTCAGCTTGAAGGCTGGAACCTTGGACCCTAAACTCATCTGTGGGTAGTGGCTGTATGGCCTTGCTAAAGTCACCTCCTATCTTGGGGCTCTTTGGAGGG